AAAACAGCGATTTTTTGTACAACCCAGCAGAGGAGACAAATAGACTATGAAATGCCTAGAAATATTTGGTGGGTGCTCATATACAAGGGGAACATTAATCTCTTCTGGATATCGTGTTGGTAAAACTCTTGCCCCAGGAAAGAGAAAATGCACTAGCTGTTACTGATAACAGTAATGACCAAGAATGTGAGTGAGTTAATATAAATATAAACACAGTTCTGGAATACTGAGGATTCAAAAAGAAAAGACTGTGATAATGATTGTATTTGAACTAATTTTGAATTCAAGACTTAATATTGTTTACATTTAAATTTAAATTTAAAATTTGTGTTGGACATCACCTGCAAAATACAGAAAAATTTTAAAGGTAATTGACATTAGTAAAATTTCCTTAGTGACATGAGGGTATGACTTTTCATCGTGAAAGAGCTCTTCTTAAAAATGTGCAGCCACACCAGTTTTCAAAATATTGTTGCAAGATTTTATGGGTAACTTACGTCTCCAAACACCTTATTCCACAGAGCTAATTCAATCCTTGCATTGTTACATGCAACATTGTATGAAACATTATATGAAATATTGTTTTATTAAAACATTGGAAAACCATGCAGATCTCATTTCATGAAAGAACTCTGTTAACTTAGAGAAACCCTTGTCAACAACTAATGGAGGAACATACACTGTGATTCATGTAAAATTTGCTTACATGTTTTTCACACCTACATTCAGCTCAGACTTCATGTAAAAACTATTCTAGAGGTTACATCATTCAAAATTTATTGGAGTTGCTTTGGGCTTCCTTTTTTTTTTTTTATGTGAGAAAAATTATACTTGGGGATTATAGCATTAGATGTGTGAGTGTTAAAACATGGTATACAATGACTGTAAACTTGTCCAACAGATTAAATTAGAAACACAGAGCTAAAAGCGGATATCTCTAAAGTCAGAAATTTCTCTTCTTTCTGTACATGCTTACCAAGGGACTATAAGTATAAATGCAGTTTTCCAACTGAAATATTAAGCAATAGTCACAATAGAAAGAAAGAAAAAAACCCAGTTTCTATTTCTAAAATGTTTTTGAGAAAAATTCCTAGGTAAGAATCTCTGCATAGGTAGCGTGACGGAATATTAAAATGGAAATAAACTTAAACTTTAAGAAAATAGAAAAGCTATTACACGTCTTAATCTAATTAACTATCTTTTTACACTTATGATAGTAGATAGCAAATAAGCTACTCAGCTTGGCACTTTTATGTATGAGGGCAGGGCTTACTCCTCCTTGAGTGGTTTGATGTATGTGTGTCAACACACATTTTGATGTTTTATATTTTCCAGTTGTTTTCTTGCATGCTTTTTAAATACAATGTGACAATGTAGGTCTTTTGGAAGAGGTGGGAAAGATTGGTGGGGTTTAGGTTATTTATTTTTTTGGTGGAAGATGAATACCTAATAAAAACTATAGTGTCCTTTATTTGTGAACCTACCATAGAAAAATCAGAGTTTCAGACAGTCTGCTCAAAGTTTTATTACAGTGGTGTAGCAGTAGGACTTTTTAAAATGGACTGTCTCATGGGCATTCTGTGTTGGCAAATCAGTGAGTTAATTTAAAAGCATTTCTTAAAGAACTCATTTGTCTTTGATTACAAATAGAGACTAGTTCTTTGTATTTATATGTCTGTTAATATAATCATTCCAGGAAAAAGATCAAAATTGGTTCCCTTATGCCTTCACTGGTTCCCATTACTTTTTCTATACAATGTTAAAGCTTCATCAACAGAAAGGATATGCCCCTTTTTAACTTCTGTATAGCAGTTAGAGCGCAGCTAGCAGAAAGAACTGGTTTTATGAATCCTCTTAAATAAAAAATTCCTGCACCATGACAGCACTCAGCTCAATTGGCTTTTCATCTCCAGACTTGAGATGTTATCTCAAAGCACTCTTTTTAGGCAACCATTTTAGGGCACATTTCTTTTGACTGACTTTGACTGTTTATTTTGGGATATGATGACTTTTAGATTGAAAGTACCTAATTCTCTTCATTTGCTATGAAAGGAACGTAGATAACCAGCTCAGGCACAGACATGTTTACTCAAACTGAGCTGATAGATCTTGCCCTTAAGTTTTCCACCCTAAGCATCTCCCCACTGAAAAATGGGTTGTATGGGGGTCCTGTTTGCAGATATAACTCATCTTGCAATATGGAGGTGCTTAATACCTATTAGAGGGTTATAACATTTAGGACAAGGCATCTAAAATTACGTGCTGCAGTACTGAACATTTAAAAAGCAGACCTGTTTTTAAATCTAGCTCAAAGTTATTGAGGTGTGTCAGAAGCTATTAACTTTCTTTAACTTCTCTCTGTCTTTTATGTGTTTACTTCATGTCAATATGCATTTGGATTCTGACTTTGGATACTATTCGAGAAAAAGAAATTAGTAACTTCAATGTGTGTGTATGTTTTTGACAGACCTGGAATCATCACACTGCAAGCTTTTTCAGAATCCAACCGAAAACTTTGGCTCGAAGCTATGGATGGAAAGGAACCAGTAAGGATATTTTTTCATTTTCTTTTCTTTCTACAGCTTTGTGGCATACATATTAAAGAAAGAAGCTAGTATGCATTTCGGGTACTCTGTTACAGTACAGGCAAATACAGTTCTGTTCTTTGTGAGACCCTATCACAAGTACACAGTGAAGATGGGTACAAAGTAGAAATGCAGAGCTGTTAGTGAATTTAAGCCTTTATTTACATATTATTATTTTATGTTAGGATATTTAATGTTTAGGTAATATGATAACATGTTGTCTAATAGGATTCATGATTCAGATAACATTTGTGAAGCAGTAGTTTCTGCACTGGTAAGGACAAACCATTTTCTGGCAGTGTCATGGAATAAACAGTTAGGACCATCCTGAAAGGCACTGCAGAGACTGTAAAAATGTGTTGAAAGTTACTATGAGACAGGCTTGTCTGAGATTTCTTCCCACGATTAATCTGCTATTAAAATAGTCATGGAATGAGGGTGATGCCAGACCTGTATCCAAGGGGAAAAAAATCTTTATCAGTTTTATGAGATAGATGAGTGTTTTTACAATCTGCTTGCTTGACTGAAACAGTACAGAAATTAGAACAGCAGTTGTATTGAACTTTAACCCATTTGGAGTCTGCAAATCTGACTTCTAACAGATTTTAGGTGCCTATCCTAGTACAGGGCTGTTAACCTGGGTGAGTGCTCTGGGGGTAAACATCAAGAGAAGGTGAAAGGCAAGATTGGCTTTTCCCTAGCAGCCAGCTAGTACAGAGCATGTTGCAACTACCAACAAACATATTAATCAAGAATTTAAAGCACAAATATTGACCTGTTGCTTTTTTTTTTTACAGATTTACACACTGCCAGCCATTATTAGCAAGAAGGAAGAAAGTAAGCTCTTTATTTATGTAGAGTTACCAAATACTGCTAAATTTCTGTAATGTCCTGGTTTCTAGATATGTTTTCTTTCTATTGCTATGAAATAACAGTGTGTTGGATTACATGATAGGGTTACACAAAAGCACATCCTAAGCTATGTAAACTGTGAGAAAGACGTAACTTTTATATTACTATCAAATATAAATTGGAAGAAAATTTGATTGATTCCAAAGCTACAATGTATTTAACAAATCTGTAAAATGTTTCTATCAGCAGTGTGTACACCTAAATGTAAATACATACCAGTGTGTTGAAATAATATCCGTATATAGAATTATAGAATCTTTTAGGTTGGAAAAGACCTTTAAGATCATCGATTCCCATGGTAAACCTAGCACTGCCCAGTCCACTGCTG